AACCCCACAGTTTCGGTACTTTTTGGGTGCTCGAAAGTATTTCCGGTGTTTCAGGCTAAAGTAGGTTGGAACATCATAACTCGGAGGGGTGGTTTATTGCAGCATCGTTGATGCGCCTGGGGTATATACTGGTCATCTGATCCTCCTCCTCCTCCTCCTCCTCCTCCTCCTCCTCCTCCTCCTCCTCCTCCTCCTCCTCATTCTCCTCCTCCTCCTCCTCCTCATCCTCCTTCTCCTCCTCCTCATCCTCCTCCTCATCCGAATCCTCCTCCTCCTGCTCCTCCGCGTCTCCCCATCCACCTTCGCCCCAGGAGGCACAGCATCGCGCGAGGGGGGGGCCCACGCAGAAACATAGTGCCCACAGGGGCAGCCTGAGCCCCGACGGCGGCTCGTGCCGGCGACGGGCCGGCGCTGGAGAAGGCGAGCGCCGCCATCGACTCCGCAGGCCCTGCGCAGCAGGGGCGCGGGAAGGGAAGGGGGGATGAGAGAAGGGGGGGGAGGACGGAGATGAGGAGAAGTGGTGGAGGAGGGGAGGGAGGCAGGGCGAGGGGGGAAAAAAGGGGGAGGCGGAATGTAAAGAGGAGGTGGAGAATCTGCTTGCCATCAAGGGCCTCCAAAATGCCCACGTACACCCTGGAGGGAGGCGAGGCCCTCCATGGAACTCCATTAAAATGATCCTGGCAAAGCAACCTAACAGCGATGTGTAGGAGCATATCTGGAAGCATTCACCTTAAGATTCAGATGAGAAGCCAGTTGTAGAATTCTGCTGTTCTCGCAGTCGTAGTCGCATTCGCGATGACAGTCGCAGTGGCAACGGCAGTCGCAGTCACAGCCTCAGCCTCAGCCTGCCTCAGCCTCAGTCTGCCTCAGCCTCAGCCTGCTTCAGCCTGCTTCAGCCTCAGCATCAGTCTGCCTTCAGCCTCAGGCCTCAGCCTCAGCCTCAGCCTCAGCCTCAGCCTCTCAGCAGCCTGCCTCAGCCTCAGCCTCAGCCTCAGCCTCAGCCTCAGCCTGCCTCAGCATCAGCCTGCCTCAGCCTCAGCCTCAGCCTGCCTCAGCCTCAGCCTCAGCCTGCTTCAGCCTCAGCCTCAGTCTGCCTTCAGCCTCGGCCTCAGCCTCAGCCTGCCTCAGCCTCAGCCTGCCTCAGCCTCAGCCTCAGCCTCAGCCTGCCTCAGCATCAGCCTGCCTCAGCCTCAGCCTCAGCCTCAGCCTCAGCCTCAGCCTGCCTCCCTCAGCAGCCTCAGCCTCAGCCTCAGCCTCAGCCTCAGCCTGCCTCAGCCTCAGCCTCAGCCTGCCTCAGCCTCAGCCTCAGCCTGCCTCAGCCTCAGCCTCAGCCTCAGCCTGCAGCAGCCTCAGCCTCAGCCTCGCCTCAGCCTCAGCCTCAGCCTGCCTCAGCCTCAGCCTGCCTCAGCCTCAGCCTCAGCCTGCTTCAGCCTCAGCCTCAGCCTCAGCCTCTGCCTTCAGCCTCGGCCTCAGCCTCAGCCTGCCTCAGCCTCAGCCTGCATCAGCCTCAGCCTCAGCCTCAGCCTGCCTCAGCATCAGCCTGCCTCAGCCTCAGCCTGCCTCTGCCTCAGCCTCAGCCTCCTGCTTCAGCCTCAGCCTCAGCCAGCAGCCTCAGCCTGCCTCAGCCTCAGCCTGCAGCCTCAGCCTCAGCCTCAGCCTGCCTCAGCATCAGCCTCAGCCTCAGCCTCAGCCTCAGCCTGCCTCAGCCTCAGCCTCAGCCTCAGCCTGCCTCAGCCTCAGCCTCAGCCTGCAGCCAGCCTCAGCAGCCAGCCTGCCTCAGCCTCAGCCTCAGCCTGCCTCAGCCTCAGCCTCAGCCTCAGCCTCAGCCTCAGCCTCAGCCTCAGCCTCAGCCTGCAGCCTCAGCCTCAGCCTCAGCCTGCCTCAGCCAGCCTGCCTCAGCCTCAGCCTCAGCCTGCCTCAGCCTCAGCCTCAGCCTGCTTCAGCCTCTCAGCCCTTCAGCCTCGGCCTCAGCCTCAGCCTGCCTCAGCCTCAGCCTCAGCCTGCCTCAGCATTCAAAATGTGGCCCGGGAATGGAGTTCTGGGAACTCGAAGAACACGAAGTGGCCTACAGTTGGCTCCGGGCATTCAAAATGTGGCCCGGGAATGGTGCTCTGGGAACACGAAGAACACGAAGTGGCCTACAGTTGGCTCCGGGCCTTCAAAATGTGGCCCGGGAATGGTGTTCTGGGAGCACGAAGAACACGAAGTGGCCTACAGTTGGCTCCGGGCATTCAAAATGTGGCCCGGGAATGGTGTTCTGGGAACACGAAGAACACGAAGTGGCCTACAGTTGGCTCCGGGCATTCAAAATCATGCCCAGGAATGGAGTTCTGGGAACTCGAAGACCACGAAGTGCGTTACTGTTTGCTTAAAACGAATTCCCCGGCATCCCCCCGGATCCTGCCCGGACCCCCCTGGGGAGTCATGATGCTCTCTTTTGACCCTACTAGAAACCTATCAGTCTTCGCTGTTAGGTAATAGGAGAGATGGAAGCCAGGTCGGCCTTAATTCCAATTTTCTCAGGACTCAGGATGGAGTCTGCGGCTGAGCCTGCTCCAGGCTGTGCTATGTGGATTGGGGCTCCCTACCCAGCTTGCCCAACCGACCAGCCTTCCGCCAGCAGTAAAGTGAGCGAGATGCAAGCAAATCCACATAAACGAAACACCAGGGGCGGAGGCAGGTCCTTGTTGTTCAGACTTGTTATCCAGGGACGGGTCAAACGCCAGCACTGAGAATATAAGCTAACTCCACCTCCACTGGTGAGAAGGACGGGCTGGGCGAGCTGGCTTCGGGGGCTCTGGGGATCGTTGCACTTACTGCCCAAGAGCGAGCCAGGGCCAAGAGGCGTTGACCTGTCCGCCTAAATACCCACACCTCTGGCCACCTTAAGCTTCTGGTCGAAGCGTTTCAGGGCCTCGGGGTCAGGCTCTGGGCAAAGGGTCACAGCCTGCTTAGCCGACACATCGACAGTACAATTACCTTAACACAAATATCGCGCCCAGCCGTGGGAAAAAGGACGGCAGAAGTGCGCCACACCAGACATGCCATATTCGCAGTATTCGGCTTCCTGGTGGGCACGAACTTTTGTGACTGTGCACTGGTGGGGAAAAGGACGGCAGAACTGCGCCACACCAGGCATGCTGTCAAGCATGTTGTCTGACATGGTGTCAGGCATCTTCGGCGTGTCAGACATGTTGCTTGTATTTCTGACGGCGCCGCCGACCACGGTGACGCCGTAGACACAGATTAGCGTGCCGCTGGCAAGACGGCCCGTGTCCTCCGGGGCAATGCCACCTGCGTTTCAGCACAGCCGCTCCTCTGCCTCGAAGAGCTGGGCGTGCCGAAGGAGTGCACCCCAGGCGACCTGTAGACCATCTGCGAAGCAGTGCCACCTCCCCCCTCCCTCTTCCCCCCCCCCCCCCGCCGCCCACTCCTCAAATCCCCCCTCCCCCACCCTCCCTGAGGGGGAACCTTCGGGCGGAAACTGTTGCGCGGGGGAACCATCGACCTGGAAATTCGCACGGTCCTGGGCGGGGCGGGCTATCGGGCCCTATGGGCGACTCGGGGTAGTCGCATCCACTCCTGAGCCTATCCCCCCGAACGTTGTCCCTGATCCCCCCCGCTGGCCCCCCTCCTTCCCGTGCTCCTCCCCCCCCCCTGCCAGCGGGAGGGCGCAGAGGCGTGCCTCCTGGCCTCGCGGGAGCGCCGCTGGCCGAAGCAGCGGCCCCCCCTCCCCCCAGCGCGCCGCGCGCCCGGGCGAGGCCTGCGCCCTGGCGCCAGCGGGGCCGGCGGGGAAGCGAGAGGGCAGGCGCAGGGAGTCTGTGGATTATGTGCCGTGGGCGGGGGGCGGGGAGGGCAATCGGGCTCTGCTTCGGCAGAGGAGCGGGGCCTGTCGGCGGGAAGGGAGAGGGAGCGGGGGGGGAATCAGAAGGACGAGCAGAAGCAGGAGCTGGAGGAGGGGGAAGAGGTGAGGAGCAGCAGAAGCAGCAAGAGCAAGGGGGTTCAAGGTGCAGGAAGAGCAGCAGGAGCAGGAGAGGAGGAGCAGCAGGAGCAATCGGGAGAAGAAGGAAGAACAGGAATAAGAAGGACGCAGGAACGTCAGCAGCCGGATCGGGAGGAGTCAAGAGAAACTAGGAGGCGAAATCGGCAAAACATCAAGAGCAGAATGTGGGGAAGGAGGGAAAAGGACTTCTTGCGCGGGAAATGCGGAAGATGAGAAGCAATCAAGAGCAATGAAGAGGAGGAGGAGGAGAAGCAGCAGGGGGCAGGAGTACGAAGACATCTACCAGCATGTCTCGACCTCTCGCCGAATCTTCCTTCTTGAGCTCCAGACGCCCTAACAAGAAGGCCCTAAGACAACCCACGATTGTCCAAAGGTGTTAAAAATGCATTCAAAATGCCCAGAAGAGAGCCCAAGAGGTCCCCAACTGGTCCAGGGCAACACCGCACGCTCCAAGAGGGCCCCTGAGGAAGGGACCCCTGAACATAAAAAACTACAAACAACAAAGAAGTGGGAGTGCTCATCAGACGGAATGTGGTGAGCAGGCATTCCAGCCCGTCCAGCAGTTGGGCTACCCAACTGCTGGTCGAGACGGAGAGCTTGTGTGGCCGTGTCACCTGCGAAGAGGTGTGTAGCAGGAGCCGGGAGCATGAGGGGGCAGCATCAACAGGAGGAGGAGGAGGAGGAGGAGTCCCAGTGACTTAGGGAGAGCCGAGAACGTCAAAGAGGGCACTCGGCTCGCATCGGGCTCTCGGGACGGACGCCTACGCAGCGGGCGACGCGAGAGCGAAACAAAGAATTAATAATTATCCCAGTCGGTGTTGTGCACGGCCGCCTCAAACCTGGAGCTGACCGAAGAGTCGCTGTGAGAGAACGACCCGTCAGACGCGTCCCTGTCAGAGCAGGACAAGCAGCGGGGCTCAGCAACTTCCGAACAACATCTCGGGCAGCGTGAGGTCGCACATGGAGGGCCAGCGCAGTGTTCGATATGGGCATCCAGGAAGCGTGTCCACCGCTATCTCTTCCAGCAGCCCCGCGAACTCGTTGGTGCAAGCAGACTCGCTGGTGCAGCACAGGTCATCGGAGAAGCTGGTGACGCCCATGCCCTCGAGACTTGCCATACGGTCAGTCCGCTCACAGGGTGTTTGTTGGGGGGCCAACACGAGATTCCACTGAGCATCAGGTATCGAGTCCACTGGCGTCGCATCCAGCCGCCGCGCGAGCTCGTCGACGCAGGCGAGCACCCGCAACGACCTCATGACATTCGGACATTCGAACAGTCAGCCTGCAGTCGAGGTGCCACGGGGGCATAGCAGGGGGACGCTGGGGCGCCGCTATGGGTGAAAATGGATGGCGCAACGCAAGGCACAGCCGAACGAGAGAGAGAGAGAGACACACAAACACACACACACACACAGAGGACGGAGAGAGGACAATCAATCAATGTGCGAATAAAGATACAACTGTGAAACAGAAACAATGAATTACGACGCACAGGCTCTCATTACACGATGTACCCCGAGTTAATATTGTCACAAATATCCGTGGTTGCATTGTGTAAAAAGCCTGTGACCGTATGTGGTGCTTCCGGCACGCACTGCTGTGTATAAGGTAATAAATCCTCACACCACCTTGTTTTGGGACGGCCAGCTCGTCGATGTGGCTGCGAGTGCACATCGCGCCTAGGTTCCCATTGCAAAATCGATCGCGCCCACTCGTTTGTAGTGCTGGTGGCAACCGTCTGTACCCATTCCCATGTACGCTGTTTGATAGTTGTGGTCCGTCAGTAATACCAAGTTTTGATATCGTGGTTTCCGCATGCAGAGTTACTAGCTTGATCCAGTCTGGCCAAGGCTCGAGCGGGTCGGCATCCTCCAGGTCGTCTGCTTCTGGTGGTACGGATGGTGGCCCACTGTCAACATCTCCCCCGCTGTCGGCGCCCGAATTGTTGGGGTCCTCGTCGTCCCCGTCGCTGGCGTTGTTGCCGCTGGCGTCGTCCTGCTCGTACTCGGTTCGCGGCTGCCTGCTAGCCTTCGTCGAGGTGTCTTGACGATCATCCAGAGCAGTTGTCGAGCTCCTTTGTCATCGCCCATGCCTCACATCCATACAGAACAGTGGGTGGGAGTAATTGTCCCGTGGGAAAGCCGGATACGGTTGTTTAGTAAGTAATGTGTTCCGGTTAGTTCCTGATTGAGCTGACAAAATTTCCTCCATGCCGAAGCAATCGGGTTCTCCACTTCCGCGTTGTGGCTGTCGCTGCATTGAAGTCAGCGTCCCAAAATACTTTGTAGCTCGGTAAGGTGGGGGCACTTCTATTTTCATGTCGCGGACGAAAACGTGGGTCAGCGGTTGTTGCGTTCACTTTGCTCTGTGCCCGATGTGCAAGATTTTCGTTTTGTCTGGGTGCAGTAGTAGCCCGGCGTCTGCCGCTTCGGTAATGATGTCGGAAACCAAACTTTGAATGTCGTTGTTTGATCGTGCGATAAGGAGAATGTCGTAGGAGAATCGTAAATTGTTCAGTAGGTCGTCGCTTTGGGGGAGTAGTGGGATCCCGCGTCGCTTGGCAATCTAGTCTTTCTTCACCCGCAACGACCTCATGATGGAGTCGGAGTACACGTCATCGGAGTTCGCCTGCGGGCCAGCGAACGGCCGGGCCAGCGAAGACGACGGTGTCCGTGGTGAAGCCGAGGTAGAAGCACTCGTGGAAGCATGAGAAGCCCAGGCTGGATCGGCAGTGACGGAGGCGATGGTCTTCTGGAGGCCCTCGTTCAGCACGCGCTTCTGCATGGTGAGCATGTCGTTAGCGAAGGTCTGGAGCTCCTCGTGAGCTTGTCTGCAAGCTGCCACACCTCCTCATGGTTCTGCTGTCTGAGGTCGGCCAGCTGATTTTCCAAGGACTCGAACGTGGTAGCAGCCGCGCCATGTGGGCCAGGGGCTGCATCGACACGAGCAGGAGGCCCAGGGAGCGGATCGGGAAAGAGGTCAACGATGTGTAGAGGCCGCGGCTACGCCTCCTCCCTGCGCCAGCGGCGGTGGCGAGCAGAATTGGCCTAAATGCAGATGGTGTTCATGACCTGGAAAGAGTTCGCCGAAAATCTCCCACTACCAGCAGCGTCGCGGACAGAATCTAGCAGGATGCGGCGATGAGTAGGCCCTTGACCGAGTTCCAGACCACGTTGCAGTCGCGTGGCGAGTGCAAGCTGAGCATCACGAAGCTGCAGATCGGGACCGAGAGGTTTATTGACAGAACGTACATATAGCTCGGCACGAAGAGCATGTAGGGCATGGACACCAGAAGCGTACGAGGTTGACGATTTGCATGACATGATCGCTGCGATGCCCAATCCTCGCCGTGCACCGAAGGAGTTGTTGAACTCGCGGAGGCCGTCATCGAACGCAGCAGCCCAGACGCGATAAGACATGAAGGGAAGAAAAAACACGTAACAATAGAAAGGTACAATGCACAGCGTGGCGCCTTCTGTCGGCTCTTGAGCCAAAATGGCTACGGAAGGAAGAGGAGGAGGAGGAGGAGGAGGAGGAGGAGGAGGAGCAGGAGCAGGAGCAGGAACAGGAGGAGGAAGAGCAGCAGCAGCAGCAGCTGCTGCAGAAGGTGGAGGGGGTTTGGCGAGGACGTGAAGAAGAACCTGTCAGCGGTCACGGTGCCCGCCTTTCAGGCCCTGGCCGGGGCCCACTCTGGGAAGCCGCGCGCCCGCCAGGCTCCCGCACCGTCGCGCCCTCGGCGCTCTGCGAGGCCCTCGGCCGCACGCCGCGCCGCCTCGACCACCTCCGCCACGGGCGCCAGCGCGCCGCGGCCGACGTCGCCGCAGGCGAGCCTCTTGCTCGCGGGGGGCACGAGGCGGTAGCCCCAGGACTCCAGGATGCCCAGGTGCTGCGCACAGCACGGGTGCTCCCACATGAGCGTGTTCATGGCGGGCGCCACGACCACCGGCTTCACAGGGTCCCAGGCACGCATCAGACACGTCGCCAGGTTGTCACACAGACCGCACGCCAGCTTGGCCAGCGTGTTGGCTGAGCAGGGCGCCACGACAGCAAGGTCCGCCCATTTCCTGAGCTCTACGTGCACCACGGCGTCCTCGGACAGGTCCTGGTAACCCTCCCACTCGTCGCTGTCACGTAGAACATGCAGGGACCCCTCCGCCTGCAACCGCGCGAGCTCCGCTGCATGCGATGGTGCGTAGCGCGCGGCCACGGCGCCTGCCATCGTGGTACCAGCGTCGGTCAGGACCAGGACGACCTCGGCGAATCTGCAGAGCTCTGCTACGAGCTCGGGCACCTTGACGCCTGCCACGCTGCCCGTGGCGATCAGCACCACCCGTGGGCGACCCCTGTGCGCCTCCCGAAGCCAGCCAGCCCGGCACGCCGGAGCGAAGGGCCGCCGACGTCGCGGCCACCACCAAATGCCCGCCGCCAGCGCCGCCGCAGCAGCCGCGCCAGCCGCCCCGGACAGCAGGGTCGCCCTCTGCGGCGCCATGCGGGCTGGCTCAAGCGACCAGGCGGGGCGGAACGCAGAACGGAGCTGGTCTTGGGGCAAGATCGGCTACGGGACGGGGGTTGGGAAGTGGGAGCGAGGAGGGGATGGAGGGCGGGGAAGAGGGTGAGCGGGAGGGAAGACGGGGAATCAGAGACGGGGGACCAAGGACTGGGAATGGGGGACGGACGAGGGACGGGGATGGGAGACTTGGGACGGGAGACGGGGGCGCCAGGGTGTGGCGGGCGATCGGCTGCTGCGAATACGGAGTTTGCGCTCCCTGAGGCGCGTCCGTGCTCCATGCGCATCCAGCGGCTGGGCAGCGCCCAGCGCTGGCGCCGCTCCTCGCTTCACGCACGCTCTCTCATCCAACGGGTGAGCAGTACCCAGCTCTCGCGCCGCTCCTCGCCGCGCTTATCGTCACCCTGGATGCCGCCGCCGAGGCAGTCGGCATGCCAGGCGTTCGGCGGCATGCGGATGTCCTTGTCCTGAGAGGCGACGTCGTCGAAGAAGCGCCTCGAGACGTCTGGATCCGTCACCTCATCCTTGGCACCGTGGAAGAGAAGTAGCGGCGTGTCGAAGAGCTTGACGCGCTCCTCCATCCATTCCCCAGCGACGAATGCCATCTGGTAGGCAGTGCCAAGGCGCGGCTGACCATGGTGCACAAGGTAGGTGTTCGACGCTGCCGTCAGAACCCGCTCGTGCACGGCAGGGTTCTCCCAGCAGCGGTCACCGATGTCCTTATTGGGGGCCACGGGCCACCTTGGCAGGATGGGCACCAGGATGCGCTTGAAGATTTGCACGACGATCCAGGGCGGGTAGATGTTCTTCGAAATGCCGAGCATTGGAGCAACCAGCACGATGCCGTCGAAAGGCTTCGGCAGACCCTTCTCTGCGGAAAGCTGCTGGAGGGCGAAGGCCAAGCCGCCGCCCAAGGACTCGCCGATCCCGAAGCAGCGCAGCTTGCCGAAGCGCGCGGTGAGGAACGGCTGGATGTGGTCAGCAACGATCTGGCGCGCGACCTCGACAAAGTCGACCCACTTGTCGATAACGATATACTCGCCGTCGGAGCGCCCGTGGCCAGGGAGGTCGAAGCTCGCGACCGCGAAGCCGAGCGACGCGAGGATCTTCGCCCGCGAGCCGAGAATGTAGTCGCAGTGGTCGGAGTACCCATGCACGAGTACCACGGCGGCCGTCGGCTCGCCCTGGGGAACAGTGAGCTGGTAGAAAATGTTCATCCCCGACTTGAGGGTGAAGAACCCGCGCTCGATTGTCGACGTCGCCTTGCTGAGGAGTTCAGTCTCATAATCACCCACTGGGGCGTCGATCGACATGTCGAGATCGATCGGGCAGTAGCTGCGCCGCTGCGCGCCAGTGTTGCGGTCAGACACACTCCAGAACGCGCGCTCCCGGCATCTGCTCCAGAATACCTGGGCACCGATGACACAGCCGGCGCCAGCGCCACACCCCGACGCGAACATCATGGCGAGCCTGCGCTTGAGCCGAAGGCTGCGGACCACCGCTCAACCGCTTCCGTGTCGGCGCCGTGCCTGCCAAGCAAGCGCCAGCGGTCCTGACAGGCCGGCACGGGAGCGACTGGCCCCCACACGTTCGCCTCCTCGTATGCGCCGCGCGTGGACACCCAGCACTGGGTGGGCCCAGGCACGCGCGGGGAGGAGGGAGCATAGGCGCGGCCCCCTCCCATGGCCCGGCACACACACACACACACACATCATGGGGGGATAGAGAGCCCAAGACGGGCCAAGAGAGGGCCAAGACGCCCCCAAGACGGTTCAAGAGGGCCCCGAGTCGCCGAAAAATCACCCAAGACGCCGAAGAGTGCCTCCAGACGGCCCAAGATGCCCGTAAGACGCCCCAAGATGCCTCCAAGAGGCCTCCAAGAGGCCTCCCAAGAGGGCCCCAAGAAGCAAAATGTATTGTTTTTGTTCCTCAAGTGTTCGAAGGATTTTGGCGTTCTCGCCTTTTCGGTTTCCCCACGCTCCAAAACGGCCCCGAACGCTCCCAAAATCGCCCCAAGAAGGCCCAAGAGGCCTCCAAGACGGCCCAAGTAGCCCCTCCAGACGGCTCTAAGAGGGGGCCCAGACGGGGGACCCAAACGGACTCTTGGCCCCAAGAGGCCCCCAAAAGGCCCCTAGGAATCCCAAGAGACCCCAAGAGGCTCCAAAGAGGCTCCCAAGAAGCACCCAAGAAGCCCCAAAGCTAACCCCCCCACAGGCCCTCGAGAGCACTCCGACGAGACCCCGAAGGAGCATCCCCGAAGACTCTGACCACCACGCATACACGGTGGCGGGATGGGCCGAAGGCCATGAGATCCGCCGCCCCCTGTCGATTCATCGCAGGGGTGCCTGGCGTGCTGGACCTCTCGGTTTTGGTTTTGGTTCTTTTTCCAAGAGAACTCTCCCAATGGATTTCGTCCCGTCCCGCCGGGGTCCCGGGAGGATTGCCAGGAGCGCAAACTCCGAAAAATCCTCCCTGAAACGGCCGTTTCGCTCGGGACATCCTCAAAAAATCGCGAAGATGGCCCAAGATGGCCTCCAAGTCCGCCGAAGATGGTCCAAGACGGCCTCCAAGACGGCCCAAGAAAGTCGAAGACGGCCCAAGACGGCCCAAGAGGCCGCCCAGAGGCCTCCCAGACGGCCCAAGAGGCCTCCAAGAGGTCCTCCAGGAGGGCCCGAAGAGGCCAAAATCATTAATGTTCCTTAGGTTTTTGAAGGATTTTGGAATTTGCTTCTTCTCGGCATTCCGACGGCTCAAAACGGCCCAAGAGGCCCCCAAGATCGCCCAAGAGGCCCCCAAGAGGGCCCCATGAAGGCCCAAGTGGCCTCCAAGATGGCCCCAAGAGGGCCCCAAGACGGCCCAAGAGGCCTTCAACACGCCCAAGATGGCCTCCAAGACGCCCAAGATGGCCTCCAAGACGGCCCCGAAGCGCCCCCAGAGGGTCCCCCGTTGGCCCAGAGAGGCCCCCAAGACGGCTCAGACGGCGTCAGACGTGCCAGGAACCCACCAAGATGGCCGGAGTTGGCTCGAAGCTGGCCCAAGACGGCCCAAGAGGCCCCCAAGAGGGCCTCCAGGAAGGCCAGAAGAGGCCAAAAACATTGATTTTCCTTAGGTTTGGAAGGAATTTGACATTTCCTTCTTTTCGACCTTCCGACGGCCCGAGACGGCCCAAGAGCCCCCAAAGATCGCCGAAAGATCGCCCAAGAGGCCTCCAAGACGGCCAAGATGACCTTCAAGATGCCCACGTGTTCCCCGAAGGCTTTCCAAACCGATTCGGGGTACACATGGTCCGATGGCTTGGCAGGTCTGGCCTCAACGTTCGGCCACATAGGCGCTTCCAAAAAGGCATGGAGCGGCGGTGGTTCGCCGTAGGCGTCTTCGATCCGCCGCCCCCTGTTGATTCATCAAAGGGGTGCCTGGCGTGCCAAACTATATGGGTTTTGGTTTTGGTTCTTTTCCAAACAAACTCTCCCAGTGGGCTCCGGCGCGTCCCGCCGGGGTCCCAGGAGGCTTGCCCAGAGGTGGCTGCAAACGGTTTTCCTGCCCCTGACGGCCCCAAGACGGCCCAAGATGGCCTCCGGGATGCCTCCAAGACGGCCAAGATGCCTCCAAAACGGCTAAGATGGCCCTAATATGCCTCCAAGACGGCCCAAGATGCACCCAAGACGGCCTAAGATAGCCTGAAGATGGCCCAAGACGGCCCAAGAGGCCCCCAAGAGGCCTCCAAGACGGCCCAAGAGACCTCCAAGAGGTCCTCCAGGAAGGCCCGAAGAGGCCAAACGCCTTTTCGGCTTTCCGACGGCCCCAGACGGCCCAAGAGGCTCCCAAGATCGCCCCAAGATCGCCCAAGAGGCCTCCAAGAGGGCCCCATGAAGGCCCAAGTGGCCTAAGACGGCCCCAAGAGGCCCCAAGACGGCCCAAGAGGCCTCCAACACGCCCAAAATGGCCTCCAAGACGCCCAAGATGGCCTCCAAGACGGCCCCGAAGCGCCCCAAGAGGGCCCCAAGTCGGCCCAGAAAAGCCCCCAAGACGGCTCAGACGGCGTCAGACGTGCCAGGAACCCACCAAGATGGCCGGAGTTGGCTCGAAGCTGGCCCAAGACGGCCCAAGAGGCCCCCAAGAGGGCCTCCAGGAAGGCCAGAAGAGGCCAAAAACATTGATTATCCTAATGTTTTGGACGGATTTTGACATTTGCTTCTTTTCGGCCTTCCGACGGCCCGAGACGGCCCAAGAGCCCCCAAAGATCGCCGAAAGATCGCAGAAGAGGCCTCCAAGACGGCCCCAGAACGGTCCAAGAGGGCCCCAAGACAGCCTCAAGAGGCCCCCAAGACAGCACAGGAGGCCTTTAAGACGCCCAAGATGGCCTCCAAGACGGCCCTGGCGCATTCCCAGAGGGCCCCAAGTCGGCCCATAGAGGCCCCCCAAACGGCTTCCGATAAGATGGCCCAAGACGGCGGACAAAATCCTTGATTTCCCATGGGTTTTTGAAGGATTGTGGCATTTTTGTTTCTGCCTTCCGACGGCCCGAGACGGCCCAAATGCCCCCAAAGATCGCCCAAGAGGCCCAAGACACGGCCCCAAGAGGCCTCCAAGACGGCCCAAGAGGTCTCCAAGACGCTCAAGATGGCCTCCAAGACGGCCCAAGAGCCCTCCAAGACGTCCTCCAAGAAGGCCCGAAAGGGTCAAAGTGGCCTCCAGACGGCCAAGATGACCTTCAAGATGCCCACGTGTTCCCCGAAGGCTTTCCAAACCGATTCGGGGTACACATGGTCCGATAGCTTGGCAGGTCTGGCCTCAACGTTCGGCCACATATGCGCTTCCAAAAAGGCAGGGGGCGGCGGTGCTTCGCCGTAGGCGCCTTCGATCCGCCGCCCCCTGTCGATTCATCGCAGGGATGCCTAGCGTGCTAGACCCTATCGGTTTCGGTTTTGGTTCTTTTTCCAAAAGAACTCCCCCTGGGGCTCTGGCCCGTCCCGCCGGCCACGCGGAAACTACACAAGTCAATGCCTGCTCCACCCCAAGGTGGCCCAAGATGGCCCCAAGACGGCCAAGATGGCCCAGGATGGCCACCCCTTACGTTGATCGACAGGATCAAGGGTCCACAAACACAAAGGATTTGCCACATTTCTGAAATTCGGCGGCACCCCTCACGCAGATCGGCGGGGTCAGGGTCCAAAAACATAGGGGATTTGCCACATTTCTAATTCGGTGGCACCCCTCACGCAGATCCGTAGGGTCAGGGTCGAATAATAAACAGGTCCCGACACTGCTTCACGGCGGCGCCCAGACCTCATGATTTAGCTTTTGCATCTCCCATTATCCGAGACAGGGGGCCGGCGGCATGGGGCGAAGCCCTTACGGATAAAAATTGGAGCAACGCCTGACAACCAATGAAAGGAGCACAACCAGCAGCACACCAAGAACACAACATGAACAATACTTCTTAGTAGCCATAACAATTGACCATGCGAACAACAACTAGCAACGTATACACGCGATCTTGCACATTCTGCCTGCCTGCCTGCCTACCTGCCTGCGTGGTTTCTGCGGTGCGCTGGCGATCCCCCCGAGAACAGGATCTGCACGGCAATGTTGTTTGCTCACCTGGAGGAGGGCGGGGGCGCCGAACCAGACGCAGCTTGCGTCGCTTGGTGCATCCCCGGCGGGCGGCGCTGCAACTTCTGATTGGGCCTTGCAGCAGGAGCTGGCATTTCCTATGGCATTAGATGTTACGGTTTACGAGGAGGGGGAGAACAGGGCGTCCTCGTTAACATTCATGCTTGGCACCACTGCGGTACTAGCCGAGCTGGCGCGCGCGCGCGCACGACGCCAACCAGCACGATGAGATGAAGTTGAGTCGGCTTAAATATCCCCGCAGGGCTATGGTCGATCAAGGCTATATGGACAGGCGGGAGGAGCAGGGACATGGGAGAGGGGGGCCCAGAATGACTTAGCGTGCTTCCGACCCGGGCGGCCTGGAGGAGCGGGCGTCACCCGTCTGTTCAATGTTAAACTTGCTCGCGCGCTTGCCATCTTGTGTATTCTAAAACATGCGATGCGTAACTTGACGCTTCCTTCAGGGCGGCCTTCTCTGGGGAACGAGGGTAGTCCGTCTGCCTACCCCTCGCGTGGATGGGTTGTTTGCGCTCAGTCATGCTAGGCGCGGCCCCGGCGGGCCTGGTGCGCTCGGGGCCTGGGCCTAGACCCAGATGTCTCACATTGGCATGACATGCATATGCACGCAGAGAACCCTTGACCTCGGGAACCCCGTTCTCTCTCTCTCTCTCTCTCTCCCTTACACCTCGCCCCCACGATCGCCCTACCAATATCATCCCTAGCCCTCTGTCTCTTTATCCTGGCTACTCCTCTCCCATCCTCGCCCCTCCCCCTCATCGCACCTCCTCCCTCCTGTGACCGCGCCCACCACCCTGGCCCCCTGCCGTCTGATCGCACGCGGCCCATCTCAGTTGTGGACATGGTGCGAAAGCCCGCC